GGTATCGGGAACTTGAGAAACGGCTGGGTAGCTGTCCTTTATCTCAGCCAAGTCATCTACAAACAAATCCACCCTTTTACCCTTTTTTTCCTCCAACACGGACGGGTAAAAGTTTAACTGCTGATCTGCTGGACCAAATGAACACTCTATAGACTGCTTCAGGACAGACTGGTGAAGAATGAATTTTGCTTGAAGGCTTACGGGGAGTCAGCAGCAAAAAAAAAAAAGTATTTGCTGACTGACAAGATAAATGCGAAGAGGTTACACGTGCCCCAAGGAGGCCTGAGAGAAAGCACCCATCTGGCCAGAGGGGGCTGGACAGTACTGTAACATCTGGACAAAAAAGTTACTGACTTGAGCCTTGAACAGTAGTGTCCTGCAAAGAGGCCTGACAACAGGGAGCTGGGGAGGGTGGAAGGAAAAGTGTTGCATGGCAGTTCCTGAGCTGCAAAATGATGATGAAACTGAAATAGAAAAAAAGTCTACTGAGTCACGACTTCAAAGCTCCAGAAATTTAAGGTCTGAGTTCACAAAGGCCTAATTGTGAATGCCTGAAAGTTTCAAGTTTCAGGTTTTGCTTTGTTTTGGTGTATTTTTTTCAACCAACTGCAAATTATTCTAAATATTTAACTTCTGTTAAATTAAAGAACATTTGCAGTGGTTTGAAAAGAAATTATCACCAATTTTCACAGAAATTATCTTACTAAAATTGTGGTTACTTACTGAGGTCAAATTCTGCTTTCATTTACACTTGCTCCAATGACATCTCCAATGTCATCAGTGAAAATGTACTGCGTGTTGAAGGAGTTCATTCAAGTATTAATTTAGATATTTATACATACAGCCTATAATTATACAAAATACTGTAATCTGATTTAGCATGTTCTACAGGTGCCAGGAAAATAACTTACAGTCGTTATTGCATTATGAAACTGAATTTTAAAAAAGCCACATATTATTAAAAGCATGTGAAATGCATACATTGAAAGCCTGCCTAAATCCTAATAACATACATGTCTCAGGGATTTTCAATACCCACAGGACAAATTATTTTCTCACATACTCAACTCAATAAACCACCAGATTTCCCATTCCGTCTTTTCTATCTCTTATACGTAATTACTTGGGACACAGAAGAACATACAATTTCTGGACCTGTGGAGCTGCAAAAGTCAGTGGTATAACTCAGAACAACATTTATATTTATCTAATTATGGGTACCAAGTCACAAAGCCATAACCATCTCTAGACATAATTCAGATGCAAGAGAAACATAATCCTCAAATGCATGTCATCTTTTATTTTTGTTCATCATGTCTTGCCCCTAAATCATTCCTAAATTTTTTCCAATACTCAGAAGGATTTTCTGTTTTGAGGAAATATTATCCTCCAGATAAGTGCCATGACTCAGAGAAACAAGAAGCCACAAACAACAGCCAAAAAAAATCCCTGGCATCTTGACTACCTCCCAGGTTGCAGCGTTATTAGAATACACATAAATGATGAAGCAGATGCAGTAACATAGCACGGCAAACAGCTCCTTAGGCTCACTGAGAAATTAACTACTTCTGCAAAGGCTGGAAAATTTAAGGGGCAGTTCAGATTAAGACACCTCAATGTAAGTGTCTACATATGCATGTTTACATGCTGGCTACGTCCTGAAGAGACCGTTTTATCCAGTGGAGGCAGGATTTAGTTTCCTGAACATGGGCTTCTAGAGCTCTTCGAGATATCCTGCTATATCCCAACTGGCCTCCAGCTGCAGGTCTAGAAGATCATGGGTCTCATAGATCTGGTGTCTCAGAGAACTCTACATACATATCCTGGATACTCTAACACACCTCAGGTGTCACTCAGATGCCACCTGTCTTTAGGAAACTTAATCAAAAGCCCTGGAGATATAGTTACTACAATCAATGGATCCTGAACAGCAGTGTTTCACACCCTGAAGTAGAGACATAAGAAGAAAGTCAACTGACCATCCAGAACATTTGAGACACTTGAAACTACCCAAGATATCTACATGTGGATAGCAGATACACCACAGGACCTAAGGAAACTTGCTTCCCACTGCATACGCTACTGGATACGCTGTGTCACCTCAGATCAAGTGCCTATGCTGGACAACTGAATAGCTCAGTAGGCGCTCTAGGCACCTACTGCAAGTGATCTGAGTTGCTCCACCAGCCTCACCCACTGTATTGGTTAGCCCTCCAAGCCTCAACTCCGTTGCTAAACATGTTTACCACCATTTAGGATGCAGTTTATCCTTCCTGATCTGTCTCTTCCCAGACGATAGTGGGCTTCCCGTAAGACCTACGTCACATTTCTTGTACTCACACGGGTGTCTCATAAACCTCCAACAACACAGATGTTTCTGTTCAGTCAAATGGAGTGAGCCTCTAGTAGCTGGTTAGTTGACTCACTCTCTAGGCTATACTAGCTGCATAGACTATACCTCTATCACTCAGATTATCAGATTATAGGGACAATTTAGACATTTAATGCATATGAACACAGCTCCCCCAAAAGCACCTGGCTTTAGGTATCTTAACTTCAAACTGAATCTCATCACAACCTTCCCAATATCGATAGGATTACTCCATGCATAAACACAGTTATTATCACAAAGCTTCATCGCTTTGTGAAGACTCTGCTGTTAGACTATTCTGTGCAGATTTTTCCCTCATTCAAAATCTAAGTGAAGACAAAAAAAAAAAAGACCTGTAAGTACGCACATTCTTCTGAACTTCCTTGTATAATCTGAACCCAAATTGGCCATATACAGGTGTCAATGACACCAAATTGCCATATGCTTCAGAACAAGTGGCATACAGGCAAATGCCAGGCTAGCCAGAGGGGGTGTCTGACATCACATAACAAATCCCTTCTGCATTCAGTGTAGGTACTGCAGCCATTAATAGCAAAAAGACAGAAACTATTTTTAAAAAAAAATCCTGTTCTTCAGTTATTTCATATTTACTAATGAGGCTTAATATTTAGTCCAAGGACCAGTACTCATTCTTTAAATTATTTTAACACCCATTTTTTTTTTAAGATACTGTTTTGAAAAAATAAAAGCTCACCAAGAAGGCAAACTGCATCCTGGGGTGCATCAAACACAGCATAACCAGCCAGTCAAAAGAGGTGATTATTCAGCTGTATTCTGTGTCGGTGTGGCCTCACCTGGAGTACTGTGTGCAGTTCTGCGTCCCACAATTTAAGAAGGATGTGAAGGTCCTTGAATGCGTCCAGAGGAGGGCAATAAAGCTGGTGAAAGGGCTGGAAGGCATGTCCTATGAGGAGTGGCTAAGGACTTTGGGCTTGTCTAGTTTGGAGAAAATGAGGCTGAGGGTAGACCTCATTGCTCTCTACAGCTTCCTGAGGAGGGGAAGTGGGGAGGGAGGTGCTGATCTCCCTGGTATCCAGTGATAGGACATGTGGGAATGGTTCAGAGCTGCGTCAGGGGAGGTTCAGACTGGACATCAGGAAGCATTTCTTCACTGAGAGGGTGGTCAGACACTGGAACAGGCTTCCTAGAGAGGTGGTTGATGCCCCAAACCTGTCAGTGTTTAAGAGGCATTTGGACAATGCCCTTAATAATATGTTTTAACTTTTGGTCAGCCCTGAAGTGGTCAGGCAGTTGGACTAGATGATCGTTGTAGATCCCTTCCAATTGAAAGACAATGTTCTATTCTGACAGATCTGCAAGATCTGGTTTGTATTGGTAGATGTTTAGTTGGTAGTTATTGGGGGTCAGGACAGAGTGAAGTTAAGTGTGTTTCAGCTACAATTTAAAGCCTTCTTTCTCCATATAACCATGTGGGAGCAAAGACTGGCACAACAGGGGGGAGCTGAGGGAACTTCAGTTGCTCGTTAGGGGTGAGCAGTTAGTGGTTTCTCCTTTACCCTGTGCACTGGCCTGGCTGAAGCCATACACCCTATTTAGACCAGGGCCACATTGGCCCTATTCATGTCTTCTGTTCCTCATTAGGATTTGCAGAAAGGCAAATTAGATCCTAGCAGCCCTTTTAGGTTTAAGAAAATCTTTTTTTTCAGTTATAAATCCAGTGCAGGATATTTCTAAGTGAACCATACTTTTTCTGTATGATCATGTCATTTTCTGATCACTGAAAATGCCCACACAGCAGGGAGTTTATTGCTAACAATGCTGCAGTCACTAAATGGGAATTATCTGTCATCTGAATTACATCATCTACAACCACAGCCATTGTGAAAGCCTCATTTTGAGGAGCAATTTAACACCACACACTGTAAGGCTGCATTATACTGTACACAATCCCGCCAGTGTACAACAACCAGAGTGCCATCTAGTGTGACCCATGTTACCATCACCGGGGCTAAAAACAAATGCTGAAGTGTTACGAACTGCTCAAAAAGGCTGAGTGTAGTGCTTGCTAACACAGAATCATAGAATGCTCTGGGTTGGAAGGGACCTTTAGAGGCCATCTAGCCCAACCCCCCTGCAGTGAGCAGGGACAGCTTTAACCAGATCAGGTTGCTCAGAGCCCCAGCCAACCTGACCTTGAATGTTTCCAGGGATGGGGCCTCTACCACCTCTCTGGGCAACCCATTCCAGTGCTTCACCATAAGTTGTATCAGCAGAGAAATTCAGATCCAGAATGAAAAAGATTTAAAACTTTTTACTATATTTTAATACTCATCAAAAGAAGTCTGCAGAATAAAACAAGACCAGTTTGTCCAAACACTGGAAGGAATACATCAACTACTGTCTTTAATGATGTTCAACATCCAAGCTATTTTTCTCTTACTCCACAGACAGGAGATTAGCAAACAAACACCACCTTCAGATTCAGTTTACATCACAAAATAAGATACATCATCAAAACCTTCAAATACACATCAGAGGTATAGTCTGTATTTTGCACAGCCTATACAGAGTCCTAAGTTGACACATTCATCGTAACTGTACGCAAGAATCTGACCAAAAGCATACTGTCAAGCAAAAACAGACTTACCTGAAAGTGCAAAATTATGGTCCATATCAACCCCAAAGTCAATTTGGGATTCCCATCTGTTATGTCATCATTTCTAATGTTAACCAGTTTCACCTGTCACCATGGAAAGAAAATACAGACAAAATTGAAATAAATATGCCACAAATACATACTGCACTACACAGACACAACTATAAAGGATGAATTACTCACTTCCCAAGCCTACTCTGTTGTTTTTTTTAATTCTCAAAAGCAGAAAGGAATTGCATTCTGGCTGCAAGCAGCCGACCAGGAATTGCCCTCTTCCACCCACACTGAGCTGGTAAGATTCCTCAGCTGTCACTACACCGGCAGATCTGCTCCCTGTGCCAAATACCCTTCACCTCAGTCCTTGTCAGTGGGGGAAGGTATGATAGAGTGGAAAAGGATAACAAGAATACGACGATCTATAACTGGTGTGTCAGTCTCAGGGCAGTGCTGAGACCTGGGAAGGTATCACCGCCTTTCTTCCCCCCACGCTTTCCTGCACCAAAGCCAGAATTCAGCAGCAGGAGAACTGCCCTGTTAAAACACAACAGTCTGGCTTGATAAAACCAGGAATTTAGTATCACATTTAAATAACCAATGGCTTAATAATGACAATTATTATAGCTTCTGCTGCTGTACTCATTCACAGTGCTATAAACATGAAAAGGTTAATAGGATTAAAAGCAAGGCCAGGATTTTTGCCACTCAAACTCACATCCAAAGTGAGTTCAATAATTCTATTTTCTTTGTCATATTTTATTATTACATTTAATTTCTCTATATGTATTATGTATCCATATAGGCTAGCAATTAAAGATGACTCAGCTAAAAGGCATTTTATGCATATGTTAGTAAAGTTATATCCACATGCTTTTTAATGTATACCCTGTTATCAACCAAACAAGCAAAGGCATGTCCTTCTCTTGATCTGCAGGCATAGTCTTAACTATTGCGGGGGGGGGGGGGGGGGGGGGGGGCGGGG